CCTCCAGATGTTTTGGACTTCAGTTCCCATAATTGCTAACAGCTGTTAAGCTGTCCGGGATTTCTGGGAGCTAAAATCCAAAACACCTGGAGGAACACAGTTGGAGAAACACTGCCCTAGAGCACCAGACAATGAAGTCTATTAATGTTTTACCAAGAAATGGGATAATGATAGATGTTGAAGAAATAACAGCTTAATTAAGGAGAAGGTGCATTCCCCTTTATTCTTTCAGCCCAACTGATGGGATTTAATAACAACACAAAAGGAAATAGGAGTGAGGAGAGGTTACTTTTATAGCAGTCTTACTGCTCTGTGTGACAATTCCACCTTTAAGGCATTTGGTGATCTGGGCTGACACTGGAATCTACCCACACATTGCCCCATACTCATATCTTCTAGAGATGCGCATCTATGCTTTGAGAATGGGGAATACACTGATTATTGTGCTCCATAATCACATGTTCTTCCTAAGCCACAGGTCTTACTCCTTATTTCTGACTGCTGGAAATTTCTTCTGTCCCTCTGGTCCAGAAGTTATCTGGGCAAATTTAATCCAATCCAGAATTTGTACACTTTGGTCCAAATCAGGGGAAATCCTTTTGTTACTTGGGATTTAGCCAAAAGTGCCATATAACCCTACTAAATACTGCAGCCTCAATGGTATCACAGATCTATTTGTTGACATGTGCATAAAAGCTTGAATGTTGGGCATCCTAAAAGCTTGACAAAAGTATTAAAAGTCAACACACACACACAATTTAAATAACAAAAGTGCATACATTCTTGAATTACATGGGGGAAAGACTTCCTCAGATTTTAAAAAATTATGTTAGGCATAGGAATTTATTTATTTATTTATTTACATTATTTATATCCTGCCCATATCAGCCCGCAGGTGACTCAGGGTGGTCTACATATTTGCACAATTTGATGCCATCATTACATACATTCAAAAAGCAAAAACAATTAAGTGCATTTAGACAAAAAAGACAGTGCAATAACAGTTTTAAAAGAGCTATATCCTCTCGTTCCAATCCTCATCCATTTCATCGTCTTGGCCGATGAAGTTCCATGATTGATTATTCAGCTACGGTTATTGTGCCATAAAGTGAAAGGCGAGAACATTATACCAAAGAAAGCATGTAATGAAAGGCTCAGAATAAGAAACTGCAAGAGATTAAAATGATAACTCCTCTTAATAGTAATCTCTCTCTCTTTTCATGTATCACGACCCTATCACAAAATAGCTGAGCAGATTAGGTCTCACCCAGACTTAAAATAAGTCCCATTGAGTTCAATGGATCTGCATTCAAGTCACTGTGTCAAAACCAGTGGTTCCCAACCTTATTTTGGCCATGTCCCATCTAAGCATCTCTAAAATCCTTTTTTTTAAATATAATCTTTATTGTATTTTTTCAAACAGTTAAAAGACACCGATATACAGACATACTAAGACATCACAGTACTTACATAGAAGGTACAACATCTACATACTCTACACCTAACATTCAACAAGTTTAAAAAAGACTTCCATTTTGCGTTCCATCGGGTATATTACTTGTTCCCTATCATTATGGCCCATCAACTCTTTGTTGTAAGTTGTGGTCATAACGGCTTTTTGACCTTTTATTTTATTACAGTTTCTTTTAAATTTCTCCATTATTATTCATAGGCAGTTCTTTCTTCCAACCTACTTTTCACATACTCCTCCACCAGTTTCCAATCTGTTTGTCTCATTGGATTCCCGTTGCTTTTCTTCAGGTAAAACGTAAGCTTGTCCATGTCCTTAATATCCAACAGCTTGTCGAGCCATTGCTCGATTGTGGGCGTCTGATCTTCTTTCCACAATTTTGCAAACGTGATTCTCGCTGCTGTGGTTATGTATGTTATTATAATGTCCTCATCTCTCTCCAATTGTAACTCTTTTTCTGTTAGCCCTAGCAGAAAAATTTCTGGCTTAAGGGGGACCTTTTTTTTAAGGATCTTTTGGGTTTCTTCTTTTATTTCTCTCCAAAATTTAGCTGAAATAGGACAGGTCCACCACATGTGGAAGTAGCTGCCCACTTGTTCCTTACATTTCCAGCATGTATTTTTATAGCCCTTGTACATCAGGCTTAGCTTTTGCGGGGTCATGTACCACCGGTGGAAATTCTTGAGCCAATTTTCTTTAAGTGAGGTCGAATATGTATATTTTAGCTTTTTCTGCCAAATGTGTTGCCATTCTCTTTATCTCTCTACCGATGTTTTTGGCCCATAATACCATGCAGTTCTTGATGCCCTCTGTTTCCACTTCCCAATCTAACAGCTGGCTATATATTTTTGTAATATTCTTTTTTTCCAATTTTAATATTTTGTCCCATGTTGTATCTTTGTCCTCGAAACCTTTCTTTTGATCTTGTTTATATGTTTCTTTTATCTGAAGGTATTGCAACCACGTTATAGGTCCTAAACTATTTGACATGTCTCCTTGGGATTTTAAAAAATATGTTTTGTTGATGTTATTATAATCTAATAGTTCTTTGTATGTTGGCTATAAAGCTCGTATGGGCAGGGGGGCCAAACAATCCCACCGCTGCCACCAAATTATAAAGGCTCAGTATAGATGTGGCACCACTAATATATCTTGACAGGGGGGCAAACAGAACCCACCAACTGTCCTTCCAAAATAAAGAATTCACTGGCACCAATATAACGTTTGAGGAGATATCTCTCTAATTAACATCCGCTGCCACCAACACCGAAAGGTACAGGAACACCCTAGCTGTTTAAATAATAAAAAGGGCTTTTAAGACTACCAAGCACTGTGTCTTCCTATTTTCTTTCTTTAAAGGAAAACAATTGAGATTGTTTGAGAAAGGGACTATATCCATGAATGGCACACTTGACTCAGGCTTTTTGAGTTTTAAAATAAACAAGGAAAGTTTATTGATGAAAATACAGAAAGAAGTAAATGCTGTTTAGAATCTTGGCGGTTACAGAGAAATCCTGGTTTGTCTTGCAAGCGTAATGGTTACATGTAAATGGTTCTTTCTTTGTTACAACACAGAGATTTTCTTCTCTTTAAACCAAGTACTCTTGACAGGAGCTGAATCTCTGTCAAGATACAACTGTAGCATAGCTACCCTAAACTGAGGCCTAGCTAACTACAAAACCAGCTATCTCTCCCTGATAGCTATTTCAGTTTGCTACAGCTTCCCTTGCTGGCAAACCTAAGGCAAACTGCCTTCTCTTAACTAATCTCAAACACGAACTCCTAAACTACCTTCCTACTCTAATCTCTAACAACAACAGACTCACTGAAAAAACCTCTTTCTTTCCCTCCAAACCTTGCTAAACTCCGCCCCCTTCTCTAAACCAATCCTGGTTGTTCTAATGTTAACTCAGGCCTAGGACACTCCCCCTCTCTAAAATGGTGTTTTCCCTAAACTAAAATGGCCACTGCTGCCCTCTGCCAGGCCCACCAAAGCTGCATCCAACTGGCCTGCTTCTCCTAGGCCCTGCCATCCAGGCTGGCAAGGTAAGGGATCTTTACATTGGCCACTTGTGCCATCCCTGTAGTCTTCTTTGCTTAGCCTCTACCGGTGAAATCCAGAGAGGGGTCTTATTATAAAAATATTTTTTGTATTTATCCCAGACCTTAATTAGCGCCGACCGTACAAAGTGGTTTCCAAAGCTTTTTTCAATGCTAGTTTTGCCGTACCACATGTACGCGTGCCATCCTACAGTCAGATTGAATCCCTCTAGGCCTAATGTTTTTTGGTTTCTAAGCAGAGCCCACTCCTTTAGCCATACGAGTGCACAGGCCTCGAAGTAGATTTTAAAATTTGGTAGGCCGAAGCCCCCCCTCTCTTTTTTATCTACCATGATTTTATATTTGATTCTTGGCCTCTTGCCGTTCCATATAAATTTCCCTATTTCTTTGTTCCATTGTTCAAAAATCTTTGCATTTCTTATTATGGGGAGATTTTGGAATAAATACAGAAGCCTGGGCAGCACATTCATCTTAATTAAGGAGATTTTTCCTGATAGTGAGAGGTTTAAAAATCTCCAATTCGCTAAGTCTTTTTTCACTTTTACCCAAGTTGCCTCGTAGTTGTTTTTATACAGCTGGGCATTTTTAGCTGTTAGCCAGATTCCTAGGTATTTAATTTTTGTACAAATTTTAAATCCAGTCATTTTATTTAGTTCTTCTTGTTTTCTTTTTGTGATGTTTTTTGTCAAGATCATTGTTTTGTTTTTGTTTTGTTTTGTTAAGCATCTCTAAAATCCTGATGCCTCCCTCCGACATATAATTCTTATGCTCAAAAAGTTAACTCGTCCTGTTCACATGGAAGAAGCCCAAAAAAACATTAACTTGGTCTAAACAAGATTCCAAAGAACATGGCATCCATGAAAAATAAAAATAAAAGAACTTGAGTAATCTGCATTGAATTCAGGGTAACTTTAGTGTCCAACTTAATTGCATATATTTGGTGAGAATATGTGAAAATATCCCATCACCAGATGTTAATTTTCTTGCAGCTGATCGTTTGTTTTTTTTTTTACACAAAAAGATTGAAAGTAATAATGGTGCTTTGGAATTTTTCACAGATTTCTTGTGACATTCATATGCAGAACAAAAAGACATTTTAATATAGTTGTAATGCTGAAAGACCACTGAGAGGGGTGAGGTGTTTGCATGAAAGTGGCCTCACTTTTCTGTGCTCATGCACTCTCTAGTTAACTCTATGATCTCACCTTCCTCTCTATTAACGGGCTTTTCTCCTCTCCATTGACACCAGCTGACCACCTTGTCCATTCTGATTTTAATTTTTAATATGTATATGTAACAATATATATATATTTATATACTATATATGAGGCCCGTAGAACCATAAGAAATTTAAAAACTCAATGCTGATAACTCACTCAGATTGCCTCACATTGGGAACCAGAGATCTAAACGCACGTATGCTAAACTAATACTTCCTTCCTTTTTTCTCTTTCTCTAAAGCCTCACAATGCTATCAACAAACACAGAGGTGTCTTCAGCAAATTTGACCAACACACTGCCAAGTTATGATGCAGCCGCTCCTGTGAATTGCACTGATGACATCCATAAATTCATAAAATCCTACCTGCCACCCTTTTATGGTTTGATCTTTTTCATTGGCTTCCTGGGCAACATTATGGCACTGTGGGTGTATACTTTCAAGATGAGGCCCTGGAAAAGCAGCACCATCATCATGTTCAACTTGGCCTGCACGGACCTACTGTACTTAATTAGCCTTCCTTTCCTGATTCACTACTATGCCAATGGAGAACACTGGGTCTTCGGAGATTTCCTGTGCAAGTTCATCCGCTTCACCTTCCAGTTCAATCTGTACAGCAGCATCCTCTTTCTAACCTGCTTCAGCATCTTCCGATACTTTGCAATTGTACACCCAATACGTTGCCTCCTTGTTCGAAAAAAGGGATGGGTTACTCTGGCATGTTGTGCATCTTGGTTAATTTCACTGTTGGCCGTGAGTCCTTTCAGCTACTTTATTACCTCAAAAAACCATGAGAACCAATCTTTGTGTCTTGAACTCTCTCGTTCTGACGATGTGGATGTTATCAGGTGGTATGTCTGGCTTCTAAGTGGCTTAGCCTTCTTCTTGCCTTTAATAACTGTATCTCTCTGCTACATTGCCATAATCTATACCTTGGCAACAGGGCTCCAAACTCAAAACCGTTATAAACGAAAGGCTCGCAATCTTGCCTTTCTACTTCTGGTAGTCTTTTACGTGTGCTTCCTACCATTCCATGTCTTTAGAATAATTCAGATTGAATTAAGGATACACCCAGTGAGGTGTGATGTTGAGACCCATGTTCATGCTATCTATGTTGTCTCCAAACCGATGGCTGCCATGAATACATGCTGCAATTTGTTGATTTATGCCGTAATCAGTGATAATTTCCAACAAGCCATTCAGTGTCTCCTACGATGGAAGTCAAGCAACATAATACAACCAAGAGCAAGTGGTACTGATTTCAAAAAGACTGAAATATTCAAGTTATGACCTGATGCATTTCTCTTTAGGACATCCAGTTTTGATTTTCCCTGAATGAAAAAGTTGCCTTTGTCCCAGGAGATTATTGAATGAGTAAAATGTGTCCATTCATGAGATTTTGAAAGAGCATGGAAATCATAGAAGTCTTCATTCAGAAATATGAAATGTTCTATTTGGCCCAAGGGCCTCCCAAAGATTTTACTTTTAAATGTGTATTAAAATGTTGTTGCATACTGCTCTTACTCTGTGCCTAACCAAAGGCGACAAAGAATAATAATAATAGCACATTAAATAATTGACAGCAAACAGAGATACTTCTTGCTGTTTCTACAAAGTTACCTTGGGTACTTTGTCACATCTCCTGGAAAACAAAGAATATCAGTTCCTAAGTTACCTTTAAAATCACTTGGTGGCCTTCATATGTCAGCCCCTGGGATAATTTTGTGTTTACATATATTCCCATACTAGCTTCTATAGTATCTATGGTATCTTAGGGCGGTTCCACACATCCCTTGAACCTGGGAGCAATCGTGTTTGAAAAAGACCCAGGTCTTCTGAAAGACCCGGGTCTTTTCAGCAGACCAATTACTTCGGCACAAAGCAGGGTTTTCCTGCTTTATGCTGAAAGCATTTGTTTTTCCCTGAAGCATCATCTGGACACTTCAGGGGAAAACATGGGAGGGCACGCACTATAGATGCTGTCTGGATGCGCACTTAGAATTACAAGTACAGGCTAAAGTCAATATTAAAATGGCAGGGGGGATCAATCCAGTAGTTATTGTGGTACATTAGAGTCTGTTGAGAGGTTTAACCAAACATAAATATAGAGTGTTATGTTCTAATATTTACAAGAGGTTCCATCTTGGTATAAAGAAAACTCCCCCTAGTTCATTCACATACAGCATGTGTAGATGCATTCAGAGGACCAGTTTTCTGCCCCTGAGAACCTGTAAGGTATAGACTTCCTCCATGAAAGACAAAACTCCTGGGGGAAAAACTCAATCTTTTAAGTCTTTTTAACCTTTTCTTTACCATGGAACCTCCTTAAAATATCTTCTGTTATTGCAGATCACCAAGACTTAACTAAAGATTTAAAATCCTAAATTGCATAACAATTTGTTAGCCCTAGCTCTTGCTAACCTAACAGTTTGAAAACATGCAAATGTGAGTAAATCAATAGGTGGGAAAAAGCAAAACAACAACAACAACAACAACAAAAACGCTCCAAACAGTCATGCCAGCCACATGGCCATGAGGTGTCTATGGATGCAGGCTCCTCTGCTTGGAAATGGAGAAAGAGCACCTCCTCTAGAACCAGAGTAGAGGAGAAACTTTGCCTTTATCTCAGTGTTTGTGTCTCATTGTATGTCATTGTAATACTGCATTAAAGGTTTGCCTGTGTCTGCTTATACAGTATAACATGTAAATAAATAAAACATTACATTATTATTATTATTATTATTATTATTATTATTATTATTAGGCCAGGATCCCATAGGATGGAGCGTCGGCAGTTAAAGTGGTGTCAAACAGCCACAGATTCTGCAGTGTGGATACAACATACATCTAAAAGTCATCATGGCAATACATCACTTTCAATGTCAGATGCAATATGCCTTTGAGTACCATTTGCTGGAGAATGTGAGCAAAAGAGTGCTGTTGTATTCAGGTGTGTGTGTGTTGGTTTTCCATAGGCATCTGCTTAATGCTTTGAGATACAGGATGGTGGGCCAGCCTTTATCTGATTAAGCAGAGTGCTTATGTTTATTACAAGGAAAACATAACAAAAACTAGAGCTTGGGAGATTACTTTTGAGAAGAATGCCTATGAAGACATACCAAAGGGATCCGTAACTAAGTCATTTTAGCAACATGCCGCTCAGTTTTGACTCCCTGTAAATAGCAATGTGGGAATACTGGGCAGGCGCACCCACAACCTGCTTTGAAATCTGCATTCACAGAGGCTCTAAAGGTGACTTGAAAGACAGTTATCTCTTCCAATCTCGTTCTGAAGACCGTGTTTCCACAACAGCCTCTATCTCCAATACCAAAAACACTCCCCAGGGAATGATATCTCTGCAAGATGGATAACATCAGCATTCTTAGATTTACAGAGAAGAGAAAAAGAAAACTCTGGTTTCCGTTTCTGAAGAGCAAGAAGAAAAGTCTGGAATATTTCAGTTCTGAAGCCCACAACAAGACAAAGGCTGGATCTATACTGCCATATAATCCAGATGGATCTCCACTGCCAGGCTGGATCTACACTGCCATATAATCCAAAGGACTGGGTTGTGGCGCAGCTGGTTGTGAGTCAGCTCCTTTAAAATCACTACTGACCGAAAGGTCATGAGTTCAAAGCCAGCCTGGGTTGGAGTAAGTTCCCAACCATTTCTCTAGCTTGCAGCTCGAAGGACAGTTGCATCTGTCAAGAAGGAAATGTAGGTACCACTTATGTAGGGAGGCTAATTTAACTAATTTCCGACACCATAAAAATCTCCAGCAGTGTGCAAAAGAATGAGGAAGTACTCCATCGGTGTTACAAGTGGAGAGTGAAGCGACAGCTCCCCCAGCAGCTAGAATTCAATCATACTTTCATAAAGCTGGAAAATTAAATAACCTCTGTGTGTCTGTCTATATATGTTGTGTGTCTATGGCATTGAATGTTTACCATGTATATGTGCATTGTGATCCACCCTGAGTCCCCTGTGGGGTGAGAAGAGTGGAATATAAAAACTGTAAATAAATAAATACATATTCAAAGTAGATAATCCACATCATATGATTTGAACTGGATTATATGAGTCTATACTGCCATATAATCCAGTTCAAAGCAGATAATCCAGATGTTCTATAGCAGTGTGGATGGGGCCACAGTTAAACAGTTACAAATTACATCAAAAACACCAAAAAGCCAATGGAAGGATTCCAGCCAGAGTCTCCTAATTGTGGAGAAATAAGAAAGGTATGTATGCTAGGGTGGCTGCTAGTTTTCACATCAATAGCAATTAATGTGATGCTCAGGATCAGCTCCATGGATAGCTCCAAGTTCTGATGGAAACTTGGAGTGGATTCACTGCTCACTCGGCTCCTCTATATATGTACACTAGATGGAGATTGAGCTCCGTACCCAGTGTGAAATTCAAGGCATTTGTTCAAAGCCATGAAATACTTTGACATAGCTATCCTGTGCTCCCTGGATTTGGGCAGCCCAGGGACTTGGGATGGCACTCACCACCACCCTGTCTTTTTGTCACAGTAGCCGCAGGAACAACATGCCTAATGTCAGTCATTTGTTGACTGGAGTGACGCTAACCAGACTGATGTGTTCAGAGATGGGGGGAAGAAAAAGGAGAGAGCGTATTCCTCTTCTCTCCCCCTCCCTCCCTATGATGCAATGGTGCCTTGGCTGATGTCACTACAGGCAATGAGCCATTGACACTAGCCATGCCTTGATGAAGAAAACAGGGGAACAGTGAAAGTGGCATCAAACCGGGTTTGATGCTGCTGGATGGTCAGGTACTCCCTTCTGCCCCCATAGCTGCTGGAGTGGTGGCAATCTAGTGAAACCATCCTGAAGCCAATCCAACATTTGCTGCACCAGATTGGGCATAGAACACATGGTCAATGAAGATCTGCTCCCTGCTACTTTCTCCGCTCTCTCTCATGTTAAAGCTAGAAGGAAATGTACTTGTTTTCTTTTACAAAATGTAAACAAACTCGGTAGTCCTCAGCAGTATGTGCTGAGCAATAGCCCTCTTATGATCTGAATGTATAGGCAACAAGGACAGGTTGCCACAGGAACAGCTCTGATTACCATTGGAAATAACTTTCCCATCTTAGTGGCTTCATACACTTGATGACGGGACCTGAAGTCTGCTACTTTTAAAAATAATATCTTAGAGAAAGAAACAAACACACAAGCAAGCATTTTTGACACATGAAACAAAGCTACACAACTACATACTATTCAGTGCAACTAAAGTACAGCTAGACAACTATTTAAAATAAAAATGTTAAACTTTCTGCATTCGATTGCTTTTTGAATGACAAAACTAGTTGTGCATCAAAAAAGTAACCTTTTCTCCATTCTATTTTGAAGAGCTAGATTAAGCATAAGCTGCTCTGGGACCAGAATGAAGAGAGAGGGGCCAGAAAGACAGTTCCACCTTGTCTCCTGTGCTATGCTAATAATATTATAATAATACAATACAATACAATACAATACAATACAATACAATACAATACAATACAATATAATATAATATTGGAGCCCCTGGTGGCGCAGTGGGTTAAACCACTTAGCTGCTAAACTTGTTGACCGAAAGGTCACAGGTTCAAATCCGGGGAGTGGCATAAGCTTCCGCTGTCAGCCCCAGCTTCTGCCAATGTAGCAGTTTGAAAACATGCAAATGTGAGTAGATTAATAGATACCACTATGGCGGGAAGGTAACGGTGCTCCATGCAGTCATGCTGGCCACATGACCTTGGAGGTGTCTGTGGACAACAAAAGATTCCCCCAGGCACTAACAAGCCACACCAAAAAACCACCAGGCCATCAAATGCTAATCAAGGTGGTCAGTTGAAACATTCACACCTAGCTCCAGCAGACAAGAGTCCCTTGTCCCACCCTGGTCATTCCACAGATATATAAACCCAATTTTCCTAGTTCCACCAGATCTCACTACCTCTGAGGATGCTTGCCATAGATGCAGGTGAAATGTCAGGAGAGAATGCCTCCAGTACATGGCCATTTAGCCTGAAAAAACCTACAACAACCCAAATAAATATACAATAGGGCTGATCCTCTATATCCAGAGATTCTTCATTCATCGATTCCACCATCTATATCTTGAATATATTCCTCCAAAAAAACTTCCAGAAACTAAACCTTGATCCTATTATTTTATATAAGAGACAACATTTTACTATGCCCTTGTATATTTGAGCATCTGTGGATTTTGGTGCCTGTCGGGCAAAGGAGGGAGTGTCCTGGAACCAATCCTCAGCAGA